AGTCAGAACACATACAGTTTGTTGATTAAGTTGCCCACTTATATGGGCATAGTTCATGACACCCCAAAACAATTATAGTAACATCAAAGATCACTTATCACAAATCACCATGACAGATATAACAATAATGAAAAAGTTTGAAATCTTAAGAGAATTACAGACGGTGACAGAAGCATAAAGTGAGCATGCGATCTTGGAAAAATGGTGGTGATGGACTTACTCAAGGCAGGGCTGCCACAAACCTTAAATTTGTAAAGAAGGCAGCATTTGTGAAGCACAATAAAGCAAAACACAATAAAATAGGTATACCTGTGTTTTCAGGCATGACATACTGTAGTTTCATCAGTTCTCTGTGTGTTCAAATCTCCAGTGAAGGGATCTTCTGCATTTTGCGTCCACAACGACAGAGTGCACAATAGCTGGGAATTACGTGCTTGCTAAAGAAATCCAGATGTTACCTACATACAGTCCCATTTGTTTCCCAGTGTGGAACTGCCACCTTTATCACGCAAAGATCTTCACGTACTTCCACAGTATATAACAGTGACTATAAATATGTGTACTCAAATAAATACGTATATTATATAAAAATCTATGATCTGGACCAGCGGTCCCCAACTTTTTGGCACCAGCGATCAGTTTCATGGAAGACAGTTTTTCCACGGACCGGGGCAGGGTGGAGGATGGTTTGGGGACGATTCAAGCGCATTGCATTTACTACATCTGCGGCCGCTCCCCAGCGCTAGCATCACCGCCTCAGCTCCACCTCAGACCACCAGGCATTGGATTCTCATAAGGAGCCACATCCTAGACCCCTCGCATGCGCAGTTTACAGTGGGGTTCATGCTGCTTTGAGCATCTGATGCCGCCACTGATCTGACAGGAGGCGGAGCTCAGGTGGTGATGCCAGCGATGGGGAGCGGCTGTAAATACAGATGAAGCTTCGCTCACCTCCTGCCGTGCGGCCCAGTTGGTTATAGGCTGCGGACTGGTACTGGCCCTTGGGTTGGGGACCACAGGTCTAGACCATACATATGTAAATAAATATAATCTTTGGCTAGGGAAAACAGATAATAATTGTATTGATTTTACAAAATAATCATGACTGCATTTTTGGAGTTGTTTTTAGGTCCTGAGCCATATTATTTTGAGTATCTTTAATGGTAATAAGAATTCATCCTTTCAAGGGGAATTTGATAGTCTTGCATAACCAAATGTTATTAGGAACTAAGTCTGTTGCTTTTTCTTATCCAGTTTTTAGCTCGTGTCTTAGATCTTTTTAAAGTAAATTACATGATCTAACGAAGTCTGTGGAATACAATTGAGCAATCCCTGAAAGAGAAAGAATAGCAGCGTTTTCACTAGTGGATGGGGAAAGGGCGAATTGTAACACCGTATTATTTTCGAAAGCCTCATACTGAGACTAGTGTCAGATGTGCTTTTGTAGCAGCATAATTAAAGCTGTCCCAAAAAGGCTTATATTTAGAACTACACTATTTTTATTTGTCTGTGTCAGTGTATGCCTTTTGACTGAGAAATCTAAACTACTACTCTCTGATTTATATTTATTATGCCAATTATGCCAGTTCCTGCTGCTGTCCCGTATACATCAGTATTTCTTCTTCACCCCAGGTCAGACAGTTCTGTTTGCTTTTTGAAGTCACGCTGCTGCATCTTTTTTTTTTTTTTCAGCTTAAGCTTGACTTCTTTGACCGTACTTTCTACTTCTTGATACTTGACATTTTCCTAATGCATCTAGAATGTAACATTGGAATCACAAAAAGCTACTATTTTTACTTATAAAGAGATGAAAACAGTGAATTTTTAAAAAAAAAAACTCAATTTAAAAAAATTTTTTTAGAGATGGGATCTCCATCTCACAGTGTTTACGGTAGATTCTTATTACAGATTGCAGATGACAGTTGTTTTGTAGAATGTCTCTGTTTGGCTTTGTCTGGTGTTTCCTTGAGATTTGATTAAGGTTATGTAGCATCTTTGTCAGGAATATCATAAAAGTGTTGCAAGTGTTCTCATTTCATGATTTCAGTTTGCCTGTCCCATAACTGATAATACTAATTTTGATCACTCGATGAAGATGGTATCTGCTAAGCTTCTTGCCTTTGAAGTTACTATTTTTTCTTTGGGATTCATGCTTTTGTGTGGGGGCATTTAAAAACCATATAAATATCTCATTCCTTTTCAAAGTTTATTCTCATAATTATGTCAAAATGGACTCATGGTTTCCTGTTTTCTTCAATGGATTATAATTTGTTACTATCCTTAATTATTTCAGTGCTAAAAGTTCCAGAGTTGACCATGGGGACCCCCTTCAAGCTGACTTCTGGGTCCTTTCGCTTTGTCTCCTCCGGTTGGTGCTGCCTTGCGTTCTGCCGCAGCTAGTCCTTTCCATGCCGGCCCTAGAATTAGCCATTTCTCCAAGGAGGCCTCGTTCCTCTTGGATAAGTGCAGCATTTAGTGCCGAGGTCTGGATGCTGGATATGACCATTGGGGGTGCTGCTGCCCACAGGCCCACGCAGAAAGAGAGGATATACATACACACATATGTACATACACACACGTAAGTATAAAAATAGAAACATACAAAATTTAAATTTCATGTTATATACATAGACATTAAACATTTGCATCTTTTTAAAATTTCTATTTTTATTTTAATATTTTTATAAATTAAAAACCATGAATTCATATCAATATTTCCAGCCCCAATCAAACACTGTAGAATTCAAGCTGGTCCCTTTCCGTACTATAGCTCCCTTCTTTGACAGCATTAATCTGGCTTCCATTTTTCTTGATATATTTGCTTATGTGGTCAATCTTCCTGTACGTGACAGTTTCTCATCGCCACCGCCACCCTTCCCCCGCATGGATGCCTTTCTTGCCCCATCTGGGCTCCAACACCTCTTTCTGAGCCTCCTGTGCAGGTGTTTTCTTCACCCCGTGCAGGCTGTGCCACCCGCACTAATCGCCCTTCCTTGCCACGCTTAGGGTCTGGCATCACCGTGCCGGGGTGCCCGTCTGTGTGGATGCCCTGCACCCCACGCTTAGGTTCAGATTCCCCGCTCCAGGACTCCCCGAGTGGCGTTCTGAGAGTGCACCTTTAGATTTAAGAAGTATAGTGAGTCCTAAACAGGAAAAATGAAATTAAATCTTAACCCCACACACTGTGACAAAACTGCAGAAGCCCGGAAACAAAATTCTTAAAATTCCTGAAAGAAAAAAGAGATTGCCTACAAAGGAAAAGCAATTAGATTCACAGATGAGTTAATAGATGCCAGCGGCAAAGGCTATCTTAAGGTTCTGAGAGGAAATAACAGTCAACCTGCAATTTTATATCCAGGTAAATTATGATTTTCAGCAAAACAAAGACTGAGATACCAAAAGATCCATACCGAAAGCTCCTCTCTGTGAGAATGAAATTGAACACCTGAGAAAACAGGAGGTAAGAAAAATGGAGAACAACAAAATTAGAAAATTTACAGATGACTCCAAGAAACTACCACTATGTAAAACAACAGTCATGATGACAATTTGGTAGTTCTAAACAAAAGTTAGAAATATTTCCTTCTTAATTATGACTAAGGCATTCTAAGTCCTTATTATTGTTCAACAGCAGAGTAGAGAAATTAACTTTACACTTGTTAAGCCAGGTAAGAATGTCTCAGAATGTAAAGGGCAAGCACTAAGAGAATACAGGGAAAAAAAGTATGCGTCCAAACCAATAGAGATAAAAGGGTATAAAAAATTATTCAAATTATTAGGAAACAAGAAAAGAGAAAGAAGATAAGGAAGGGAAAATAAGAATAAATAGAAAACACAGAATAAGATGGCAGATATCTACATTTACCTGAAATCACAGTAACTGTAAACAGATTAAAGTCAATGATTAAAAGGACAGAAATTGTTGAACATATAACACAGACTGAGCGTTTGCTACCCATAGGTGCTCGGTGAAGGCACTACTCAAAGCTATAGTGAACATAATGCAACAGAAACTAGTAGTAAGGATGCAGAAAAAATTTTCAACAAGGAAATTGGTAAAATATACGCATTAAAAAATGAATAAAAACCTCAATCATTTTAAACCCTGTTTTATGTACCACTTAATGTAGAGTGTCTCCGTGGAATGTGTGAAGCAAGCAATACGGTGCTTTTGGAGTTCGGCTGCTTTGTAAACTTCTTGCTTAGATAATCGTTTTGCTTTGAAGCTTGTTCTCAAGTTCATTAGTTTCATATCCTGTGGTGCATCATGATTTTCTGTAGAACCTCACACTGAGCTCCAAGCTTTCATGATTTCTTTTTGCTTTTTTGCACACAAAAAAAAAATCATACTGCTATGTACCAGCTCTCTTTGATGAATTCTTCTTACTTGCCTCTAGATTTGTATTTTAACTCTGCCTAACAAAATTGCATTTTGCAGCATACACTGCACAGTTATCTTAATTGGTATTTCAGTCTCTCTCAGGTACTACACGAGTCATCACTGGTAAAATTTTTCTTTTGGTCTGGACAGCTCAAGAAGAGTAGTTAATGGCCGGGCACAGTGGCTCACGCCTGTAATCCTAGCTC